AAAAAACTAAAAAACACGCTTTTAAAGAACATCGAACTAAAAAGTTAATTTTTTTTAAATATGCTCGAGACAATAAGGAACGAAAAATACTAGTATAATTAAAAAAAATTTTTAGTTCGATGTTCTTTAAATGCGCGTTTTATAGTTTTTTAAACTACATTTATTTTTCATTTTTTAGTTTCGTATGCTATAAAAGTGTGTTTTTTAGTATTTTTAAACTATATTTATCATATCTAAACTTTGGGATCAATTAGCCGTATATTGTTCAGAAAAATGACCATTGATATTTTCCGATTCCGGAAAGGGAGCCAGAAAATCAGCTAAGCCCAAGGCAGCAAGCGTACAAGGGAGGGTTACAAATAAGTCAGCAGCCGCGCGTGTTAATGAAAAAAATACTTTTTTCAAATGAAGAAATACATGTTAAGTGAGTTCGAGTTATATCAAGGAGGTTACTTACAGCGCCATCTGCCCGCGAATAGATCAAGCAATAATGTCGATATATCAAGGCAGCGCCATCTTCCCTCGAATAGATCAAGCAATAATGTTGATATATCAAGGAGGTTACGTACAGCGCCATCTGCCCGCGAATAGATCAAGCAATAATGTAGACAATTCTGTCAAATACAGATCCCGAGCTTGAGAGTTACAAACAAACAAACATATATACATACATACATACAGGTGAAGCAAATATGAAGCGTGCAAAAAGGAGAAAGGATATGGTATAAAAATGTTGCCAATCACTAAAATTTTTTCACTAATCTTTTCCAATTTTTACAAGAATCGTTTCTAAATATAAACATTGGTGTGCGCTTAGCGCCTCTGTGAATGGAATGCCGAAGTTTGTAGGTTATTTTTATTTTCTACTACTACTTATTAGTTACGGAAAGCATCTATTCCCTTTTAGACAGCCAAGCTCTGAAATATCATTGTTTTCTTTCATTTTTGGATTATGAATTTAGTAGTATAATTAGAAGTAGTATATTTGAAGTATAATTGAGATTCAAAATCATCAAGTTTGATTTGAAATTGATAATTTTAAAGATTCTTACCTTCAGACAAGATAATTGCCCGTTAGCCTGCTTGAGATACTGTGATAGAATACTGGTAGGTAGGGTGCAAACGGAGTCCTTGATGTGGATAACATTAATGAGTGCAACCTAGAACAAATGAGAAGTTTCGAAATATTGTGTAACTCGTCAAAACGATTGATCGTCAGATACCGACTGGGAAGATGGAAGCAATTGGTATACAAGGTTTTGTATTGTAATGAATTAGTAACTACTTGAATGATCATAAATAGATCACAAGGAAAAAAATGTTTTATCTTTCTCCATTGTCAACGAATTTGAAGTGCCACAAGGGAGTGTCCTACAACCGCTTTTGTTTCTAATTTATACTAATGGTATAAACTATTACGATGAATACTATATTCTTAAACTTTTTGCAGAAGACAAACTGTTATCAAATCCTCAAAAACTTCTCTTTTCTAGAATTTCTCCATACCTATCAACATATTTCAAAAAATAGGTCATTCGAAAAAAGCTGACTTTGATACTCTACGTTTCAACTAGGTACCTTGTAGATCAGTGAATAATTTAAGGAAGTTCATAGTTCAAAAATATAATTGACGTATTTCTCAGACAAAAATTTTCTGCCACTCCTGTGAATGATTATAAAATACTCTGTTGAAATAAATGTATCTATCTATCTATCTATCTAAAGAAAAATCTTCTATTTATCAGTAACTTGTCGTATTTAACAAATTTGCCTATCAAAAAAAATATTAAGAAATAACACTTATCTTTTACGTTTCGGAGGGCAAAATCTGCCTCCGTCTTTAGAAATGGATAAAAAATTGGAATATATACGCAGTTATTCCTGGCAAGACTGCCTCCTTTGATTCCATCCCATCTCTTTAGGAATTTAGCATGGGTGTGACGTTTGGCTAGTCCCGCAATTACCGAAGTAATCAGGCCGTAGGTGTCACTGGGTCCTAAAATTCTCAATCCAGCCGCTTCCTTGGCTAAATAGTCGGCAATGCGATTACCTTTACTTCTGTCGTGCCCTTTAATCCATTATCTACCGAGGATTTGGTTAAATCTTGGTGGAACTCCAGTGCTAGCCCTGAAGTAACACACTGTCTGTTCTAGGCTAATAGGGCTTGTCTACTATCAGTGCAGATTGTTATGTTTTTGCCAGAAATTTTTTTCTTGGTTATTTCTTTTGTGGCGATTGAGATACCAGCCAGTTCTGTTTGAACCACAATGGTATTTTTTCCCATTCGCCACTTAATCCTTAGGCTTAGTGATCTGGAGTAAACCCCACATCCTTAGCACTCTTGGGTTTTTGAGCCGTCTGTATATAGGCGTATTGCATTTGTAGCATCTAACTTGTGCAAATAATTGGGTTATTTGATTTCGGAGAGTTTTATATATTTGGTTGTCAAACGCTGTTTCATTGACAGTAACATTTTGATCACGTGTAACAATATCCTCAATCTTAGATAACATATCTGTAAATTTGTGCTTGGATTTGTTGTCGTTGTTGATATGGTATCATTAAATTTAGGGTTTTCTGCATCTATTCTGAGTCTATCACAATCAATGTATTTTGATTTAGCTTTAGCTTCATCGAATCGGATGACTTTTTGTTGTTGTATAACTAACCAACACTCTCTTTTACACAAGAATCATAATTCTGCTTTTTGCCAACCCTGACTCAATGTTCTTTCATCGGCAATTGGTGTGAAGTTGCTTCAAAAACAACAATGGAAAGATTAATAGCTTATGAAACGAATATAAAGATGGCCGATAATTATTTTTGAACAGAGTACTAACGCTGTTGGAAGATGATAACCATGGAAAGTTGATAGTCAAGTAGGTTAGCGTTACTGTTGCAAATCATATTCATGGTAGAATCAAAAACATTTATCTCGTAATTTACCGATCAATTTATAGTGATACCAAAAAACTTCAAATTACTATAAATATATGTTTCCAATATGTGTTCTGTTACTATGATTTTTTCTCAACGTTTACATTAGATATCTATATCATGGGAGTACATAAAAATAACTAGTTCACCATAACGGATTGAGAGTGACGTCACTATAATTTTATTATTTCTTTCAACAAATCTTTTCATATCATAAAACAAACAACCAACCCTTTAATACCATGGGAGTACATAAAACTAACTAGTCCGCCATCTTGGACAGTCCGCCATATTGAATTTACAATGACGTCACTTGGTTTATTCTGTTTAGGACATCAATCCCTTTCAATTGATAGCCATATCATGGAAGTTAGCTACTAGCTGAACAATTTGCGTCCCACTCCACAGTTGATTTTTTGGGAAAGGCACCACCACACTAGAATCCACAATGCCGGAAATTACTTTTCGACAGCGTCTGCTCAGGCGAATTTTGAAACGGCTCAATATTAACAAGGCGTCTGGCCCTGACGAAGTGCCCGTCATCGTACTTAAAGAGTGCGCAAATGTACTCGCACCAGTATTTTGCAGACTTCTCAACCTGTCTTACAAAAAGGGGGTTTTCCTTCTTGTTGGAAAATTGCTCGCGTTCAGCTTATTTCCAAAAAGGACAAGAAAAATCTTCCAATTAACTATATACCTGTCGCTTTGCTATCAGTGATATCAAAAATCATGGAGAAAGTCGTAAACCACCATATCCTGAAATATTTGGAAGGCTTCAACATCTTGAGCGATCATCAATATGGCTTCCTGAAACAAAGATCAACAGGCGACCTTCTATCGTATGTCACTCATATTTGGAATAACGCAATCGAGAAACATGGAGAATCAAGAGCTGTTGCACTTGATATTTCTTAAGCCTTTGACCGTGTGTGGCATGAGGGTTTGCTGGTCAAACTTCGATGCCATGTCTTGTCAGATCATTTCTGTGTATGGCTCTTCAACTTCCTAAAAAAACGTTACCTGCAAGTGGCAGTCGATGGATATCTCTCGAATACTTTCACCATCAACGCTGGTGTTCCTCAGGGATCCATATTGTTTCCAACCCTCTTTTTATTGTATATCAACGACTTTTTGGAAATAACCAATAATCTAATATATGACTTTACTGACGACAGCCACTTGTGTCGTCATTTCATTTAAATTCCAGGACATCGGCTACTGAGGCACATCTTCATTGGCAGCAGGAGGTTGCATATCTTGAAGAGGAGCTAGAAGTGATTTCAAATAGGATGAAAGTAACCAGGTTCAATTCAATGCCACAAAAACCCAGGCATCGGTTTTCTCCAAGAAGATAAATGTCTCCGAACCGGATATAATAATGTCAGGTCGGACAATTCCGCTTTCTGCTTCGATAAGTTTGTTGAGGGTTTAAATGGACACCAATATGTCTTGGCACAATCATGTTGCTGGAATTGCAAAGATTGCTTCTCAAAAGCTTGGAATACTGTTCCGAACTAGAAAACTGTACACACCTCAGCAACTTTTGATGCTTTATAAAGCTCAGATCAGATCTTCTTCGTTATTGTTCTCATCTATGGAGCTCTGTCCTCAAACATACCCTGAAGTTGTTGGTTTCCATCCAGAAAAGAGCCATCCACCTGATTGGAGACGCGAACATCACATGCAACCTTGATAGCCTGGAGCATCGAAGAAAGGTTGGAGATTTGTGTCTCTTTTATATACAGGGTGTAACTGAATAAGTGTAAAACATTCAAGGAGGTGATTCCTCATCGAAAAAAAGATAGGATCTTGCTAAGATACAGCCCCTTAAAGGAGGTACATAAAATTTGTATAACAATTTTTTTCACAAGCACTGAAATAGTTACAATATTGAAATTAACCTGACGTTTTGTACTACCGAAAAGACACTTAGCCAGTAATTTATTTGGTTTACCCCATGGTAGTAAAGGGAGGAAAACGCAACCCCTAAAATTTATTTCCAATGTAACTTTTTGTCTTATTATTTGTTTACCATTTTAAAATGTATTTCCGATAGCCGGTTTCATTCTAAACAAAAAATGTCTCTTGGGTTTGATGTATCTCTGTAGTTGTTCGTAAAATAATTTTTTGCTGCGAACTGTTTTATTTTGGGCAAAAAACCCAAGAGATATTTTTTGTTTAGAATAAAACAGGCTATCGAAAATAAATTTTTAAATGGTAAACATATAATAAGACAAAAAGTTACATTGGAAATACATTTTAGGGGTTGCGTTTTCCACCCCTTACAAACATAGGGTAAACCAAATAAATTTCTGGCTGAGTGTCTTTTTGGTAGTTCAAAACGTCAAGTTAATGTCAATATTGTAACTTTTTTAGTGCTTGTGAAAAAAACTGTTATACAAATTTTATGTCCCATTTTAAGGGGCTGTATCTTAACAAGGGATGCTCCAATGAAATTTCTTTATATGAGAGATCGCATCTTTTTCGATGAGGAATCACCTCCTTAAATGTTTCACACTTATTTAGTTACACCCTGTATACTTTCACGGGAAGTGTTCAAGTGACTTGGAACATTTGATTCCACCAAGAGCGGTACATATCATAAATACGCGACAAATTGTGGCTGCTCGTCGTTTTCAGGTTCAACTCAGTACACCTCGAACTTCACTATTTAAGAACTCTTTCATCTGGAGAACTGCGTTTATATGGAATAAACTTCCTTATAACGTTTTTCCAAATGGATTTAATCTCCAGCGATTCAAATCCAATGTGATTCGCTACTTTCGCACAGGCACCGCTCTGAGAGCGCCTTAAAGACTTTCCCGTTTGAAAAAAAATATGTTTTTTCGTTAATCAGCTGTCGCCCCCATACGAACGACAACTCTCAGAAGTTGAGAAACTTGTGCGAGCTAAAGACTAACGAGGTCTTACCTTTTAACGTGTGATTTCTAACACGATTCCTAAAAAACCGATAAATCGCCATTTTGTAAGCCATAATGGATTTCAATGGTGGAACTTAGGTAATCATGGATTACACCGAGAACGAGAAGTGAGTGCCAAACTCCAGCTCAACAGGACACTTGCAATAGTTGGCACCGTGACAGGTGATACTAAATGAAAGATTGCATAAAAATAGTTGAAACTTTAAAATACTTTATATCTGTTGAATAAAAAAAACGATGATGCAAAAAAATGTACGTTGTCTGTTTAAAAAGTAACGTGA